GCGTTACGTTCCCTAAAGTTGACTCATTACTTCAGCTAAAGTTGAGGTGTTATGTTCCCTAAAGTTGAGGCGTTATGTTCCCTAAAGTTGAGGCAATAATACACCTTAAATTGAGGCATTAGCCCTCCTAAAGTTGAAGCATTACGTTCCCTGAAGTTGACTAAGTTGAAGCATTACGTTCCCTGAAGTTGAGGTGTTTGCACCCTTTAAGTTCAAGTGTTATTGTTGTTTCTGGTTGTATCCTGCAGTAAAGACTGAAGCGGCTCTTTTGTGTTTTTCCACACAGGGGTTTTGTTTCTGACACACAGATAAGGTTGTCCTCAGGACGTCCACATTGCCAGAATATTTCACATTTTTCTTCTCTGCATAGTTTTTCTGTTGAGATACAAAGTTATGCACATCTGGGCTCACCAGCACCGCACTGAAACGCTCCTCCAGCTCCTGCTCGGGGGGCATCGGGATCTTGGGTCCAGCTGTTTGTCTCTGGGGCAGCATGGAGTCCGGCCCGGATATCTTCCCCTCCTTAACATCCTTCACCTGAGGAAGCTCTGCACTTCCAGCTGAGTTTCCCATAATTACAAAGATCCAAACCACACGTGGACACAAAAAGGATCCAAAACTAAGAGTCTCTAAAATCTACTGATTCAAAGTCCTGCATGACCTTTGACCTCTCATTGTCTCCATGATGTCCCAGCGTTGACTCATGCAGAAGCAGCCTGATGTTCTCCAACAAACTGAGGGATGAGAGTCGGACCTGCTCAGATCCAGAGCTTTATGAAACCCTAGACAGAGGGAAGAGGATATCCTGATGGTGACAGAGTGACAGCTGAGGGAGGAGGAGGAGGAGGAGGAGGAGGAGGAGGAGTTCTGCTCCTGCAGCTTCTGAACGACATGAGGAAAAAAAACAAAAATCCAAAACACCAGCGTCACGTTGAGGAAACTAAAACACAAACGACTCGTGGTTCTGCTGCTGCAGATCAGGCTCCCTGTTGAAGTCCTCCATCTGATCCTGGATGTTGGGTCTCTTCTTAGCTCCAGACCCTCAGAGACCCAGCGGCTCTGCCTGTCCTGCTCAAAGGCCAGGGCAGACTGAAGGCTGCAGAGACCAACAGCTGAGAGGACTCTGGGTCCTAATGCCTCCATGTTCAGGCTCCGTGTCAGCAGCAGGTAATAAAACGGAGTTCCTCTGGGCGCCAGGCTGTAGTTTACATCTAGTTATGTAGTTTTCTTATCTGAACCCACAGGGACATGGACTGGAGGGAACTTACTGAGTTTGTGAAGAAAAGTTTCATGTTTATCATCCAGTTTTTCTGCTCGTCCATGATCGGGCTACAGAGGGATCAGGTGCAGGAGGAAACCCCAGACTCCCGTCTCCAGATCCAGCTGGAGGGTCCCAAGATGTTCCCAGACCAGAGAGGATGTAAAGTCCCTCCAGAGTTCTGGCTCGGCCTCCGTATTTAACTCAGCTACTGCAACTAGCACCGGTTTCAAAGTACAACGCCTGATCCTCAGTATTTTTGTGAATAACTCTATAACGTTAATTTGTGTTTTCCTTGTTTGTTACTGTCGTCTAAATTTTATTGTGTTTTCATTCTCTTGACCCTAAAGTCGCCCGTTGGTGCTGCCGGGCCAGCTCTGTCAATAATCTGTTCTTAGAGGTTGGTTAAATAAAGAACTTGGAGCATCTCTTTCTGCCACCATGTTTTATTTTGAAAGGATTATAAAGTAGAAACCACAGTTTTGGGTGAGCTCAACTTCCACAACGATCTACTGGACGGGTCAAAAAGATAAAACCTGAATTAACGTCGGGACACGACGTTTCAGAGTTTTTCAGCTGCAGGACTCGTGTGTGTAAATTAACTTTGATTCAACCCCATCAACACTTTTCTGTTCAAACATAAAACTGTCAACGATCTTCAATCCTAAACAGCAGTCGCACCGTTTGATGAAGACTGTGGGTCTTTGTTGTGAGAGTGAAGAGCACGGGCCACGCAGGACACCTCCAGACCGCTGGTTCAAGCCCACGGCTGAAATCCTTCAGCGTGAACTCGTTTTACAAGTTCTGATCCGTAAGAATAAAGTTCTGATTCGTAAGAATAAAGTTCTGATTCCATAAGAATAAAGTTCTGATCCGTAGGAATAAAGTTCTGATCCGTAGGAATAAAGTTCTGATCCGTAAGAAAAAAGTTCTGATTCCATAAGAATAAAGTTCTGAAAGTAAAACACCAAACGGACCCAAAGTTTGTTCACTTGTTGGTGAGAATCAGGACGTCTCCTGAAAGGCTTCTGTGCTCAGAATTTTCTGGATCAGATGGTAAACACCAGCACATGATGTAAACACCAGCGCATGATGTAAACACCAGCGCATGATGTAAACACCAACACATGATGTAAACACCAGCGCACGATGTAAACACCAGCACATGATGTAAACACCAGCACATGATGTAAACACCAGCACATGATGTAAACACCAACACATGATGTAAACACCAGCACATGATGTAAACACCAGCACATGATGTAAACACCAACACATCATGTAAACACCAACACATGATGTAAACACCAGCACATGATGTAAACACCAGCACATGATGTAAACACCAACACATCATGTAAACACCAACACATGATGTAAACACCAGCACATGATGTAAACACCAGCACATGATGTTAACACCAGCACATGATGTAAACACCAACACATGATGTAAACAACAACACATGATGTAAACAACAACACATGACGTAAACAACAACACATGACGTAAACAACAACACATGACGTAAACAACAACTAAAATATGTGTTTACGTTCATCAACACTTGAAGGACTTCAGATCATGGTGGACCACAATTTGTGTGTCGGTCCTGTCCGTCAGCAGAGGATCAGACCGGAGGAACCGGATGGTTTTCCTCAGACTGTTCGTGCACGGCGGTCGTGCACGGCGGAGCTAAACGTGTTAGACTTCCGGCGTTTACCTGAAAAACTCCAGCTCAGGTGTTCAGAGGAGAATCACCTGTTTTAGGCGTCAGAATTTTATTTATGAAAAATATTTCAAATTTGAGATAAAGTGACTGAGCAGCTGGATCCCACAGGGTTCTGGAGCCAACGGGCCGAGCAGAACCAGAACCAGGAGAGCAGGGAGGTGTTTTAATAAAACATGAGTTCACAGAAACCTGCAGAACACGAAGCACGTCAGAGAAAAAACGTTCACTTTAAAGATGAAATGATTAAATTTAGTTTTAAAACAAATATTTTTTACTTTCTAGAATTTAAAGTTTAAATTAAAGAATAAAGTTTATTCTCTAACAGTTTGTTCAAAGTCAGTTTGTGATGAAATGATTGAAAAAGACTGAACCTGAATGGTCTTCAGTTATTGGACTTCTGTGCCGGGCATGTCCAGAACCAGCACCGTGGTTCACAAAGGTTCTTGGTACCAAACCATTCAAAGGCTGATGATTGATTTTGTGCGGCCCCAGGTCTTGGACACTCAGGTGAAGAGAGATCACCACCTGGTGGTGACTTGGATCCAGTGGGGTGGGGGTGGGGGGGGGGCAGACCTGGTGAACCCAAACATACAGTGTGTGTGTGTGGGGGGGGGGGGGGGGGACGTCGGACGTCTGGTGGAGTCCTTGGTTCGAGTGGTTTTCAACTACCACCTCACATGCAGGAAGAGGGCCAGCTGCATCATGAAGGACCACTGACAGCTTCAGGGAGGGGGTGAGGAGCTCCATCATCTGAGGGGAGCGAAGAGTAACTGCTCCTCCTCATCGAAAGGAGCCAGTTGAGGAGGTTCTGGCATCAGATCAAGACACCTCCCTCTAGAGGTTTTCCATGGAGGACCCAGAAGTCTCTGGAGGGATTCTGGATCTTCTCTGGCCTGGGAAGAAGAGCTGGACAGGGTTCTTGGGGAGAGGGGGGTCTGGTACCTGTTGCCTCCACGACCCGACTACAGATGAGCAACAGGAGAGGGCCGGAGTATTCTGTTGTTTGAAAAGTGTTTTATAAATAAAGTTGTGTCGCGTGAAATCATGAAAATTGAATCGTGCTCAAACGTTTGATCTTTACTGATTTATTAGAATTTTAAAACCAAAATAATTTACACAACTTGATGAAAATCAAAGTGTTTCTTCATCGAAACAAGAGGTTTTATTTTCATTTCAGATATTTTGGATGTTATACATTATTCCAAACAAATGAAACATTTGATAAAAACAGACGGTTCAAGTTAAACTGAGTAAAATAATTTAAAGAAAATAAAGTTTTATTTTAAATGTGGGTCCTGTTTGGCAGCTGGGACGTCATGAATGACTGGAGGAGCGTTTTAAAAGAGTTTGTACATTTTATTAAAAATGGAGGTATTACAGACGTTAAAGAGGAAGGAAGCTGCTCTAAATGAAACATGTAAATAATAAAGAGATTAAAAGACATTTTTAATTTGATCCAAAACCTTTCAATAAAGAGATGAGATCAATAAGATGCACAGATGTTCAGTGTCTTGTCAGATTGTTAGAAATAAATAAAAAGACTTTTGTCTCAACAGACTCGTAATAGAAGTGGCTCACTGCTGACACCTGGTGGTGAACACCTGACACTGCAGCAGGAAGTGACCAGAACTAAAGTCAAACCCAGTTCAATATCTTATTATTTATTATTAATATTTTAAGCAAAATTAAAAGACCTTCAAAATAAAACTGTTAAGGTGATCCAAATTAATTTACGGTTATAAAACTGATTAGTACTGACATTGATAATGGCCAGGAAAGATGAATATAAAAATTGCTTGTTTGTAGTTCTGTGTTAGCAAAATATCTGATGGGCCAGTGGGTGTAGTTTAATGAAGCTCTTGGGAGGATTTAGTTATGGAGCCAGCTTAATTCAAGATGGCCACCATCACTAATCAATAATATTAATGACAAAAAAAAAACCAGAACCATCTGTAACTCGGTCTTTTTCAGATATGAAGCTAAAGTTTGGTGTGGTAGTAGCTGAGAGTCATCCTCAACATGCGCTCTAAGTGCCAACAGATCATGGAAGATCTCAATAATTCAGCTCGGAACAAATAACAATAAAAACTCAAATAGATTAAAAAAAATTTACTTTAAAAACTCTGGTTTGAAGATCAGCAGGCGACGAGCATCTCCGTAAGGAACACCAGGTTTTCTTGTAACTCTCAGAAGGTTCTTCAACGTTATGACGACTTGTATATATTTTCATATTCATAACGCAATTTTTGACTGACGCGTTAAATTTCAAAGAACTGCAACAGTGAGTCCTCCCGTGCACGCTCTCTTCACTCAGCTGGAGAGCTCGGGAGGGAGGGAGGATGGATGGATGGATGGATGGATGGATGGATGGATGGATGGATGGATGGATGGATGGATGGATGGAGCCGCCCAGGCGAAATGAAGCTGTTTTGACCATTAAATAAACACTTAATAAACACGACGGGTCGGCGGTGACACATAATAAATGTGACATACGCTGAAGCGACTTATATGCTGTAAAATACGGTAATCAGTTTTGATGGACGAGACGAGACTCGGGAACGTCTGCGATGGACGCACCTGCTCAGGTACGTCCAGCCCCCGTCAGAGGTTTTTACAGTGTTGATCTCAAAATCTAAAGTAGAGGCATAGAGATAAAAACATCACTGAAGGGAAGGCTTTTAAGATCTAGACATTTCTAAAGTAAATCGATGGGTGGAGATTC